CAATAGAAACATTTTTTAAAATTTAAGCTCAAGAAAACAATAATTTTCGAATGATAAAAAAAAACTCCGTCAAAAATGGCTAATTAAAAAGCCAAAAACTGACTGAAAAAAAACCACCCCGAGCACAAATATTCCGTTACTTTCGTTACGCAAGTCAGAACAATACCCAGTATAATCGATAATCCTGCGGCCAAGCTTTCAGTGTTATCGCAGCTTTGTGCAGTTTTGAAGTAAGCCTTCCATAGGAACAAAAATGCAAAACCACTGCAAGTGATTTTAGCGATTCACCTCAAATCGCATTCATAGCAAAATCTGACTTTGACAGAGTACTTAAAATTTGTACCTTGCTTTTTGACCAATTAGACATAGTACTCAAAAAATAGGCAGTTTTTAGTTTCCCCAGGTTTAATTTTTTACTCAGCGTAAAAAAGTGCTTATTAGTAATTTAAGAGAGCAATTTATTTTATTGGAGAAATCGCACCAGAAATGTTCTGATTTAGTTTAATCAGTCTTTCTTAAATGCTTTTTGTCTAGATCAAAAACTGAATTAGATGTCTTTTGTTTTATATATGTCAAAACGCTTTTTGCAAACCTTTAGAGATATATTTAGAAAAAAACAACAAAACTCACGCTCAAATCGCTTTGTTTTTAAAACGATCGCGGCTTCAAAGTTGTAATTGTCCCAGACGTCAAGTCTGCGTTCTTTTTCGTCAACCAGAATTTCATCTTTTAAACCTCCTCAAAACTTGAAGCGAATAACGAAAAGCATGTAAAAATTTTGTTGGTTTTGGGTACATGTTTCATCGAATTGAACTGAAGTTTTCGTCCAGTTTGAATTGATCCTTCCATTTTTTGACAAGAGTCACAAGCCTTAGCAGTTAATCCACCGAGCTTAAAAAGTTACCTTTCTTGCTTGGATAGTTCAAAAATCATCTTGCATTTTTTGTTTTGGATTTTAATCTACAGGTAATAATATGACAACTAACCTTCAATTTAGGGCAGCTCTGATGGCAAAGAACGTTCAGCAAAATCTAACGCTAGAGAAGCAGAAAAAAAAACAAATTTAGGTTTGTTAGCAGACACAAAATACTTAGTTCATCAAATGTCCAAAATCACACGACACACTTTTTAAGTAACTTTTATTCGTTACTGGAATCTCAGCCAAACAGATTTTTATCTTTCCCACATTTTGCTTCAATTACTTTTTTCGAGCAAATTTAAAGCGTTTTTGAGTTAATCTTGTCTAGTCGGTTGCTGAAATACCGAGAAAAAATCCGAGCTTATCAGTGCATGAAAACTAAAATGAAAAGTTGGTGTATCCGGTTGCGGTGGAAGAAGCATAAAAAGGTTCCGACTCCGACCACATGAAATAAACTATTGTTTCTATTTTATACCGTTTCTTTTTATGCGTAGCTTGATGAGAGCAAAACTTCAAGTTATAGCAAAACATACCATGATGGACTACATTTGACTTTTGAAAAAAATAAAGAAAAAAGAAAGTGAAAAATGATTCAAAAAGGTTTTTCTTCTTTTTTTTGCAGATTTTTTTAGAGTTTTCAAAATTCTTTGTTTAAGAAAATGGCGCCATATGAATTTTTTTGCAGGCTGGATTTAAGTTTTGGTTTTTAGTCTAATTTTGCAAGCGCGAGTTATGTTTGCGAAATAAAATAAAGTCGATTAGATAAAATGCAAAAAAAACTTAGTTGTGATTCTGCAAAAAAATCTGATAGCGCCATTTTGTTATACAAAGAATTTATTTCTCTCAACACCGACCTTCAAAGTCTAGATTTATTCAAAATCTTCAAAAACTTTTGCTGCTAGTATGCTGATAGAGCTTCCGAAAATTTAGCCAATAAAAAAACGACCTAAATAATTGAAAACTTTCAAAACCAATATCGGTTTTCCTTAAAGAAAAAGTCACCCAAGTAGTAATAGTCTCCCTTTCAACTAACTCTACCACGACACAATTTTGTTGAGTCTCAGTTGCATTGCAGCCACTTTTTAGCAAACAAAAAACAGATTTTCCAAAAAAACCTGAAAACTTAGCCAACAGACAATTGGAAAATAGTCAGCAATCACATGTAGACAAAAAATATTGACTTGTTTTTTTTTCGAAAAAAAATCTCACTTTTCGAACCTTCAAGAAACAAAATTGGCCTGAAAGGTCTTCGAGTTTTCAAAACAACTCATGTTTGACATTTTTCCGAAAAAACTACGTATTGATCCTGCTTTTTCAAATTGGGTTAGTTTCATCGGAAAAATGTCGAACATAAGTTGTTTCAAAAACTCAAAGAGCTTTCAGGCCATTTTTTTCATTTAAGTTCGAAAAATGAGATTTTTTTTCGAAAAAAAGAAGTCAGTATTTTTTGTCTGCATGTAATTGCTGACTATTTTCCAATTATCTGTTGCCTTAGTTTTCTTTTTTTTTTAAATCTGTTTTTTGTTTGCTAAAAAGTGGCCGCAATGCAACTGAGACTCAACGAAAATGTGTCGTGGTAGAGTTTTTATTTAGTTGGGAAATTTTAAACTAACTTGCACTTCCGAAACTAAAAATCGATCACGTTTTTGGTGACCTTTACACTTCCGCTGTTCAATAGTGGATTTTGCCTTCCTTTTAGCAAAGGAAAAGAACTGCACTTAAGAAAAAAATCAAACCCCAAAAAAATCTAGGGAATTTTCTTAAAAAGAAAATAAACAATCATCGCGACCTGTAAAACAGCCTGAAATACGTTCACCGACTTTTACTTGGGTTATTTTCATGAGTTAGTTATTACGTCACCGAAAAACTATACCAATTTCAAGTGTTTCTGAATCGAATTTTTGATAACTTGCGACACCACACAAGAGCATTGCTAGCTGGCAGAAAATGAAACGAAAGCCGCCTAATGCAATCGAACTGGCAAAGAATTGGTAAGCAATCATTGCGCCGAAAGCAAAATTGTTGTCATAAAACTCTGCTAATCTTTAATTTCTTTGATTTTACGCCCTTTCCGATTAAACAAAAAAAACGTTGTTTCTTCTTCGAAACGACGCAAAATTAGTTCACTTAGCTGAAAAAACAAGCCGAAATTCTTTAGGGCCGTGTGAAGCTTTGAGCAAAAATGAATATAAAAATTCACGGGCCAGCAGATCTACACGAGGCAAGAATAAATCAAAAATAACTTCAACTATAATGAATTGCTTTCTGCGTAAGAAAACTAGTTCAGGTAAGCTGACAAAACAGCCATGTCGACAATTTTTTGAAAGAAAATTGCAGTTCAAACAAATGACAAGTCCTTAGCTGATTCGAATCTAAAACCTTTGCCATCCCAGACGTGGTCATTGCATCTAGGCTAGGTCCGCCACAAACGTTAAAAACTTTGAATATATAATAAAAATCAAGCTGAAAATTGATTTAAGATAGTTCACCTGGAAAAGTCTATATTCGGATTTTATAACGCTTGGTAGTCGCAAGCAAAGCGCAATTTTTACGAGAAAATCGGATTTCCAAGTTTATTGTTCTTTTCCCGGTCTTTTCCTCTAACTGAAAATAAGACTCACAAAAAATTACTTGTATTTATTATTCAAACATAGCCAACTGACAGTTGGAAAAGAGTATTAAACGTAAAGAAGCAGAACAACTTCCGAGTTTTAAAGAAAAAAATTGGATAGCCCTTAAAGCTTTACAAATTTCTAGAACAATTTATGATTGACAATGTTTTCATGAACTAACCAAATGTGAGAAAGCTGAACCAATACGTAAAAGATTTCATTTCGCTGGAAAATTTGATAACTAAATTCCAATGTCAAAACTAGAAGTCGATCAAATTTTTCGAGAGATTCTTGCTTTTGCTGTTCGATAGTGGAGTTTGCCGTCATTTTAACAATGGAAAAGCACTGAACTTATAGAAGATATCAGAAGTCATTCCGTGAAAAATCAAAATTGAATCGTGAATGATTATTAAGATTTTTCCTGAAAAAAATTAACATGACTTATCCAGAAAGTCTTCACTACGTTCATTACGCTTAAAAAGTAGAGCCACCAGAGTTGGAAAAAGTGATGAACGCAAGGAAAAAATCAGATATGATTGTTAAAACCTTTCGAATTTCAAATTTAAAAAATTATGGCCTTATAGTCCTTTAAAAAAAGTAGAACAATAAAGGTTTGACAATTCTTGAACATAGCCAACTGACAGTTGTCAAAGAGAAATGAACGCAATGAAACTGAAAAAAACTGACTTGTTTTTTATAAATCTTCAACTTTAGAATTTCGAAAAAAACATGGCCTTAAAGCTCTTTGAATTTGTAGAACAATTTATGATGAACACTTTCATGATAAAATTAACCCAATATGAGAAAACTGGATCAAAAGGTATAACTTTTATTTAGCTGAGAAATCTGATAATTAATTTCCTCTTTCAAAATTAGAAGTCGATCACGTTTTTCGTGACCTTTACAATTTTGCTGTTCGATAGTGGAGTTTTCCTTCCTTTTAAAAATAGAGTTGCACTGAACTTAAAGAGAAATCACAAGTCAAACCGCGAAAAATCAAAATTGAGCATGAACAAACTTTACTTTTTCTGGGAGAAAAAAAATAAAAATCAGCAAGACATATATAAGAATCTTCACTACGTTTATTACTCTTAATAAAATTAGACCAATTTGGAAAAAAAACTGGATCAATAGGTGAAATTATATTTTGCTGTGAGATCTGATGATTAAATTCCATTTTCGAATTTGGAAGTCGATCAGGTTTTTCGTGACCTTCACACTTTTGCTGTTCGATAGGTGATTTCGCCTTCATATCAACAAGGGCAATCAACTGAATAAGAAGTCAAAGCGAAACTGCGAAGAAGTAAATTTGATCCTGAACAAATTTAAGACTTTTTCTGAAAGAAAAAAAAATCATCAAGACTTATGTAAGAGTATTCATAACGCTAATAACTGTTTAAAAAAAGATTAGCTGGAAAAGAAAAAGGACACTATGATATCTTACATTTGCATTTCGATTCAAATGAAAATTTTAAACTTCAAAAATGTTAATTTAAGCAAAAATTTATCTTTTTATCCTTCCATTACAGCATACTTTTAAAGCTACAAAAAATATGTTCTTCCTTAACAACGCAACATCACGGTAGTCAGTTCTTCAGCTTAAACTCCATAGTTTATTTGAGTCGCCAGTCATAAATAACATCGCAGGTCATTGTAGCATGCATGTCTGGTTAGTGCTTCCATTTTGGCCCTTCTAGTATAATGTAATCTTCAAATACAGTTGCATTGGAATGAAAATAGGGCAAAGTCTCCTTTACTTGCTTTGCGTTGACTACAGTTTATGTCACAGTTGTTGCGAACGAATGTTATTAAATGTCTCGCATTGTCTCCAGTTGTTTGAGTTGTGGGATGAAGTTATTGGTGTTATTCAGTGGGAGATGTACGAAGATGGGCTGGACTGGTTGGGCAGATGGATGCTGTATGACTGGGTTAGGGTGACACGGGGTTGGGCTGATTACACCTCCTTGGCCCTCTGGGCGGCCCTCTTGCCCGTGACTGCCTGGAATCCTGTGCGGATGTTTGCCACTGTACACCTGGACTGGCATGACTCACACTGGAGGAACTGCAGTCTGTCTGACTTCTGCAGCTTGGTGTCTTTGCTCTTACACGTGTGACACATCACGTACTCCTCTAGTAAAGCACAAAACATGCAATCAAACCATTATAGTCAATTTTGTAATGATCATCAATACACACATGCTGTCTCATATTGAAATCAAAATTTAGTTAAACTGAAGCCTACAAACTTTATTAGTACCATTTGAGAGTTGGTACTTTCAAAACACTGAGCTTTCAACTGAACCTTGTAACTGAGAACATTTATGTTGAAAACCTGATATCAATGAAATAGTTCTGATGTAAATTAGAACATTGATATCAAAGGTGAGTGCAGCTGAGGGGCAAAATAGAGTAGGTGTGGTACTCACTGATATATCTTCTGAGGATGTTCTCCATCTGTTTAACTTGGAATTTGCCCTTGAGGATTAAAGTGTTGTTTCCGTCAATTGACCCACTAAAAACATCACCAGTTTACACACACAAACACCCAGTACTACACAAATCTCATTACCCTTCAGAAAAAAGAGGGGGTGTTAAAGAAATTATAACTCAAAAGCTGACTGACCTTGTTCCCAACTCCGCCAATATAAAAGATAGCACGTGTCTGGGTTCTCTGTTCATTCTGAAACAAACAACCAACTCAATGAAGGAGAACATCCATACCGTTACCCCTAGAGAATTAGCCCTAGATGAAACCTAATACTAAGCACAGAGGCGAAGCTGTACCTCATTAGCACAAGCAACAACATTTTGGTTAGAACCAACCATAAGGGCCTATAACGTCATTTTTGGTGCATTCGCCTGCCGCACAGAAACTTTTGACAGAAAATCTTTAAGAGCCAGTGGAGCTATTAAAAACACTTTGGTCGACGTAAAAAAGTCAAAAAACGCCACCCTCGAAAACATTCATGGGCAATTCAATGACTGGTGATGTAACTAAATCATCGCTTTTGTAATCAGACATCATCCGGTAGATCTAATCTTATAGTTTCTTTTATACACAGCCCTATATCTTTCAGGAGCAGCTATATCTATCAGCAAAGACATATCTAGTCAACTTCTGACCAGCTATCATTGCTAAAAAACTGAGATAATCACAACAAACTAGGCAGAAGAATAGAGAATAAGGATAATGGCAGTAATTACGCTTTGGATATTTCGAGGAAGTTGACAAAGGAGGTCTTTTTGGCGCCTGCCTTGACCACTTCGGGGGGTCTGATCACGAACTGTTTCTTCTCGCCCGCATTCGGGTTCTTCTCCCGCATGATCTTGTACACTCTCTCCAACAACTCCTCGTAGCTCAAGTCCTTCACTCCATCTCCTATGCACACAACACACACAAACATTCATGAAAACGAACATACCTAAACACATTTAGTTGCAAATAACAGTGCGTAATTTCAAGAATCAATAGGTAGTTTTCAAATGGATCAATAGGCAATTTTCTTAATCCGCTCCGAATTCAGAAAATTTAAGTCCGTTTTTGAGAAGAGCTCATTCAGGTTTTTCGCAAACATTACACTTTTGCTCTTCAATTGCGGAGTTTGCCTTCCCCTCAAATAAGGAAAAAAGGAACTTGAAAAGAAAAAGTCAAACCGCAAAACAATCGAAAAACCGAAATGATCGTAAACAAATTTTAAGACTATACTTTTCCTGAAAAAGGGAAGAAAAAATCATCGCGACGGTAAAAAGACAAACAATTCGTTTTTCTGCACTAAATAAAAAAAGCCCGGAAAAGAGAAAGCAAAATTACCTACGGCAGCTTTGATAGTCTATTAGACCACTCGGTCACTGCGACCTTCTGATAAAAAAAGGGTTCACACATAAACAGATTGCTTCTAACTCACCTTGTAAAAATTGCATAACAGTTTACAAAACCTACCAGGAATTTAGAAAACCCACCAAAGTTTGGATATGGAAACTGAACACAAAAACCGACACGGAAAATCAATTTGGGATATATAAAAAAACAAATCAACCTATGAAAAAGAGCTGAATAATACAAAAAAAAACAAACAAAACTTCCATGAAACTTTCATGTCGAAAATAAAGACATTGACACCAGCGGATTCAGGGGGAGGGGGCGGACGCCCCTCCCCCTCTAGAAAATCCTAGATCCGCCCCTATTGAGATCGGTTTTTCTTGACACCAAGAAAACTATGATATAACAAATGAAAGTCTGCGTGATTTTCCATGAAACCCCCGAGCACTAAGCTCAATCCCTCATTCAATATCTTTGGGGATCGGATTAAGGAAACATAACTTTCATTTAAACCCGACTGATAAAGTTAGTGTCATCTTAATTTTCGTAATCGGTCATTAACTCTGTCTGATAAAAAGAACTATCGCACTCACGCTTCGTTAAAAAGTGTTAAAGAGATGCAGGTCCCATCACGCTAGCTGGAAAATCCAGACTCAAAAAAGCGTTAACTATAACAGGAAGTGAAAGTTCTATTTACCGTCTTTGTCATCTGCCAATGGGTCAACTTGGACTAACTCGTCCAAGTTGATGGCTGGCTTCTTTTTCTTCTTCATCTGTTTGAAGTTCAAACTTCCACCCTCGTCCTCTGCCCCTCCCTTGTCGCCCCCCGCAGAGCCATCAGTCCCAGGTGTTGGTTCACCTGTTGCATCAGGATCTGTCCGGAACGAAGGCGGAGCTTTTTTCGACTTCTTTTTCACTTTGCTCAAGTCCAGAGGCGCTTCTGTGTCGTCCATTGTGTCTGGATTTTCTGGCATTTACAATCTGGAACATAGCCAATCGAATATTGGAGAAGAGTAATGAACGCAAGTAAACATAAAAAAACCACGACTTTCTGGAAAAAATCTCAACTTTCGAATTTCAAAGAAAAAAATAGAGCTCTTTGAATTGAAAGATTCATGATTGGCGCTTTTTTGATAACATTAAACCAACTTGAGAAAACTAGATCAATGGGTAAAGCTGATATTCAGCTGCAAATCTAAAAATTAATTTCCGATTTCAAAACTGTTCACGTTTTTTAGAGCCATTTCCACGTTCGTATTTGGAGAGTGCTATTTACGTCACTTTCAGCAGATGAATTTCAATTGAACTCAAAACGTGCATTATACCTAAGTGCATCAATATTTTTAGACTTTTTGTTGAAAAAAAAGCAAGAAAAATCAGCAAGAACTTTATAAGAGTCTTCACTACGTTCATTACTTTTGAACAATCTGGGAAGTGACCCAATCATCGATGAAATTGATTTTTTTTTGCCCCGACGAGGTCAAGCTTCGCACCACTTACGACACACTCGGCACAAAAAGAACTGAAAATTCTCAGAAAAGAATTGAAGTTCTCAAAAGCAATTATGATTCAGAAAAGCAGTATTACACAAACTTAACGAAGGAAGAGGAAAATTTAGTAAAAAAACAGAACATTTGTGTTATCAACAAAATCTGAACCAAATATTTTCCCTTTTCTGTAAATTTTCTGGCAGGATCTAATGTCTCTTTATTGCTATTGATATTTTTAAAATGATCAGATGAAAACATCAAAAAATAGTTTCACGCAAGTTATCGATTGCCTCGCAATACAAATTAAAAATAGTATTGCAAGCTTGCCGACTAAAATTAAATTATTGCCAGTCCGGGAAAATTTTAAAAAAATCAAAATAATCTACGGTTTGTTTCCAAATGTTGTTTCACAACGTTCAAATTGAGGCGAGAACACAGCAACCATTCAATCGCAAGCATGAAATAATTGTTCCAAAACATTTATCGAGCGGTAAGTAAGCCGACAACACTCAGGTAACGCCCGTTGTACCGAAAACATTAAAAAGAAGCTGATCATGAAAAACTGAGCTTTAAGCTCGGAAATTCTTAAATTTCACAGCCTTCCCCTTCAGGAAATACGCAAAAGGATAGAAAACCATATACTTTTTTCACAAGACTCAAAATTAGATCATCAAGCCGATGAAGTATAGGCCGAAACCATTTAGGCCGAATGAAGCTTAAAGAGCGAAAAAAACCAAAACAATTATACAAAGTCAGAAATGCATGCTTTCATTTCCAATAAAAATTAACTTCAGCTCATGAAAAGAAAGAAATGTGACAACTAAACCGACGAAAAAACTTAAACAGACAGCCGATGTGACGAAAACTATTTTGAACTTTATAAAAAAGGTCCTGTCTGGATTCGAAATTGAACCCAGGCTTTCAATAGTTATGGTAACCAGTATTTAAAATTAAATTTTCAAAAAATTCATCAGGTTAGCTGCAAAATTGAATGCTCCACAAATGTTAGCTGCACAAATGATCCGATTTGATAGCGTTTGCTAATCGCAAGTGTATAAAAGCATCAAAGAGAAAATTAACTGAACTCAGAGGACTTTTGTGAAGAAGATTTCTGGCACATAAAAAAAATCGAAGTATAAAACGATAAAAGATTCAAATTATCAAGAAGATCGCAAAAAATGGGAACTCAAATGCAGCTCAAGAAAAAAACATTGACAGAATGAAAAATTTGCATATTTCGTAACGTTTATCTAGTATAACAGACACCAAAAATCTCATTAGAAAAAGTTTTTTTCATTAAATTAATTTTTAGGCATATTATTTTTTTTCTTTTGACGCAGAATTTATTTTCAAAATCCATCTTAAAATAATTGATACTCTCAAAAAAAATAACACAACGGCTATAGAGTAGCAAAAGAGCATTAGTGAAATTGAAAAAAGTAACAGATAATAGATTGTTGGAAAAAGGTAAATGAACTCAAAAAACTGACTTAATTTTTTAAAAAACTCCGAACTTCGGAGAAAAAGATGGCCTAAGAGCTTTGTGAAAATCAAGAACATTTTATGATTGACACGTTTTTGAAGTCAACTAATCCGATTTGTGTAACTGGACCAATAGATATTTTTTCTATTTCGCTTGAAAATCTGAGAAATAAAATCCACTTTCGAACCTAGAAGTCAATCACGTTTTTTTTGCTAATTCGACAGTGGAGTTTGCCCTTCTTTTAATAGAGGGAAATAATTGATCTTAAAAAAATCAAAAGTCAAACTTTTCAATCGGAAAAGAACAAAAATGAATGCCACTTTACAAAAATCGTTAACGATCGGAAAGTATTAAGGCCCAAACTAAATGCATGCAAAATATTTAACCTGTGTGCAATTTACGATAAAACACTGTACTAAAATTAGAAAAACGCAAGCAATAAAGCCAACAGTTTTAGCTATTAACTGTTGAAACAAAAAAAAATCAACAATTTAAAGTTCGATGAGCTTTGAATTGAAAAACACTTTTAATGTGTAATTTTCTTTAAAAAAACGTTCATGTAAGCAAATTAATTGGCTTTAGAGCAAACATTGAAAACGCAAGTAAAATTTACAAAAACACTGACTTCGCTGAAAAAATCTCAACTTTCGAATTTCAAAAGATGCCCTTTAAGGTCTTTGAATTTCTAGAACAATTTATGACTGGCGCTTTTTTGATAACATTAACCCAACTTGAGAAAACTGGATCAACAGGTACAGTTTTTTTCCCGCTGGAAATCTAAAAATAAAACACCAATTTCGAACCACTAAACAGGAATACAAATATAAAAAATACAGGGACGCAAGTGCATTGGAATCATATTATATGTCACATGCTGAGCACTGATTACTGTAAACAAAAGTATTTACAGGAAAAAATCTAGTACCGGTTGCAATAGACTACCTCTCGCAAGTTTAACAAGCTAGAACAGAGTTAAAATTGTTCTCTTAGATAGTCTATGCCACGGGCATATTTAGGATGTGGGAGCAGTCACATTCTTGTCATAGCTTCGACCCCTCTACAATCAAAGGTTCCCTTTTGGTATTATTTTATGACAATCATCTCCTGCCGATCAACCCGAAAATTTTGTGACCATTTTTGATGTGGAGCGCGCGTCGAAAAAAAGCCCAATTTTTCGGTCAGAACTGGCATTTTTGTCATCTTTACGAAAATTTGATGGCGGGGCAGAATATTGTCAACATAGGGTCTTCAATATATTCTGGGAGCGCTCGAACCCCCCCCCCCCCCCCCCCTGGAGCAAACCTTAGATCCACCCCTGATCTACGCATCAAATAAATCAAAACAAGGCCACTATAGAGGCTGTTTGCTACAACAGGGAGCGCCATAGATTACATCAAATTTTGTTGGGATTATATGGCATATCAGATCTTTTAACACGGCACTTCGGGGCATATTATGAATATTTCATCAGGTCTGATTAAATGTCACGTATACAGCAACATATTTCCTACGGCAACCTTTTCCTAATTCAACGCAGGCAAAGGAATCTTTTAAAGGTCTTTGCAAAAAACGTACAATCAATTTTTTGAACGCACTGGAGCTTCGCGCTACTTCCCGACAGAACTAAGAAAGTAAAATTCAGAGACCGTGACAAAAAAACTCACTAAGCCTTTTCAAGTTCAACGAAAACAAAGAATAAAACTACACAATCAACAAATATGGAAAGCGATACTAAATTAAACATTGTATGACGACGCAACTTAAACTTCCAATGGAAATACCATAGCATTATTACTCAAATTAAATTTTCAACAACAATTAAAATACACTTAGAGTTATTCAGCTATATTAGAAGCTTATTCAGCCAAAAACTTGTTGAATTTAAATAAACTAATTGGGATGATTGCAAGCAAAGATGCACTTCAATGAGGGCAGCTTTGAGAACTACAAAGGGTATCTTAGTTTTAGACTTCTGTCGCTTCGCCAATAGTCGTCATGGTGTTTTCGTGCTGCAAAAGACTAGTGGTTCTGGGCTTGAATGATATCAGCTCCGCTCTGCTACTGGCGTCGCCGTAGTTTCCGACTTTGGGGCTATTTGGCGCCTTCTGTGAGCTAGTTTCTACCTCGTGATCTGTTTCTTTGCTGGCAACTGGATGAGCTCTCAGATGTGGCGGCACTCGAGTGTCGATTCCCACATCATCCCAAAAACTAACATCTCGTTTCATCGTCTTCCGAAGTTTCGGGTTTCCGTCCGAAATGGACTCGCTTCGCTTCAAGACTAGTTCAATGTCTGTTTTCTCTCCAGGCACTCCGACTCTGTCAGTGCTTATATCCGCTTCGTAGCCTCTAATGGCAAAACAGCGTCCACAGAAAAACCTTCTGATTCTATAAGCATTGTTCTGAATGTTCTGCCAATCGCTCAAGATGACAAAGAAAAGAAATGAGTTTGAAAGAAGCAAACATAATGAAGAAGCTGTCAATATTACAATCGGCTTTTCGTATATCTTGACACTTGAACAATACTCTAAAGTGTGTTCGAACCTGTCACTGCGCGGTTCAACAATAGTCCAATACGCGAACAGTGACAAGTACCCACTTAGAGTGAGGAATGATATCAGGGCAGTTATGAAGAAAGCCGCCTTGAACCTCTTGTTGATGGCCTCTGAGTCACTGTGGACGAATGCGTTGAATAGGCAACCTTGGAAAGATCCCCACTTGTTTCTATTTTTTTGCAGGATGATGAGGTTGATGAGCACTGCTCTGCATAGCATTTGGAAGGTGAGAGCGTAGACTGAGAGGAGTCCCGTCAGTAGGAAGATGGGGGAGAGGAGACCTGCCATCAGAGTGAAGGGCAGGATATTTCCTATTAGGATGCAGAACAGCCAAAGTGTGTGTATTGTGTTCTCAATCGGACGGGACAACTTCTCACTGGCCGGATTGGTGTACTAAACAAAAACAAACACACAATTAGCGCATGAAAAAAACCGACGGCTAATTTAAATCGCAGATCGGACAGGAGCAAAATATTGACTGCTTTTTCGGTGAAGTCCCATTTGTACCAAAATTATTCAACTCAATTTCTGATTGGTCGAATTGTGAGCCAACGAATTATTACATTAGTTTTCTACTATTCAAACAGAAGAAAACTAAACAGCAGAATAGTGACCGCCGCATTCGCGCCAACTTGTTGCGAGCTTGCCAACAGAGGGTAGGACTCTATACGAAAATTAGAGCCTGTTATCTCCGCAAAGCGGCGACGCGCACCCACCGGCGACCTTAAACCAAGAGCTTAAAATAGTCGGCTTAGTAGTCTTCGACCATTGAATTTTTCTAGTACTTACGCGATTGATTTTTTATTTTGGTACAAATGGGACTGATTTATCATTTTGGTACTTGTGAATACTCACCGTTTTTTCAACGGATTTGAAAATCGTTCAGAGGTGTGCGTAAAATGTTTTTTTTTTACACAGCCGAGGGTGAACTTCGCAAACACAAGCAACAAACAACGACAAAACCAACTTTTTAAAGAATATCAATAAGACAAGACTGCTCGTATCAGGGCGAAGCCCTGAATGTTCCGACTGCCTTTTGAGGTGTATGGAGCAGTAATAGCAAAAAAATTCAAATGTAATAAAATTAAATGAAAATTTTTTATTCTGAAATTTGAATTTTTTTTTGAAAACCATCCCCCCCCCCACACACGTCATATAAAGAAAAAAAGATAAATTTTCCTCCTTGTAACAAATGGCAAATAAGCTTCTTTCAACCAATTTGGAACGATTTCTAAGACGGATTAAATCTCCGCTTACGCATTAATAGCGCGAAATATATCGCGCGTTAATTGTCCAAAATTGGTCAAAATGGCAATCTTTAAACCCCCATAACCTTACTAAAAATGATCACAAGTGTAATATTTTTTCAAATTTAATCTCAGGACAACAATACCTTTTGAATGATGTAAAAGAATTCCGTCAAAAATTGCTAGTTAAAAAGTCGAAATTTGTCTGAAGAAAAAAAACCCACCCCGAGCACAAATATTCCGTTACTTTCGTATCGAAGGTCGGAACAAAAAGGCGCGAAAAAAATTTCAGGATTATACAATTTCTAGCCTCTGAAAGACCCGGAGAATCATATGCCCTTTCTTATCACACGTGTTTAAGGAATCGATATTTTGTTTTTGACATAAAAAACCCAATATATTGCATTTTAAATGAACGAGATATCACGTTTCAGTGCTGTATAGTATAGGAAAAACCGCAGATTACTTTGCATTTAACTGTTCGTACGGCTATAAGGACGTACTTCAACTTTTTATAACGTTAAATTTAATAACATATTATGTTGCAATATACAGTATTGACATTTAAACATGTCAAATTAGGGACCTCGTAAACATCTGACAAGTGAAAACCAGTAAAAAAAAGTTCAGATAGATTTCGAAAATTTAGTGACATATAGTCTCGAATGATTTGTTAGGTTTTCTAGGTTACGTAGCAGTATTTAGACAACCGCGTATTCAGACACGTCAGTATTTAGACAAATACTGTTTCAACCAATCAGAATCGAGACAAGGAAGAAATTACTAAATAATTATTATTTATTTCGGATTATTTATGTCTTATCTCGATTCTGATTGGATCATACAGTATTTGTCTAAACACTGACGAGTATGAACACGCGGTTGTCTAAATACAGAACGCACTTTGATTTTCTAGCAGTATCTGCACGCGGAAGGCGGAGCAATAAGCAGAATGGGTCCAAGAGCAGAAAAATAGAAAAATATTGACTTATATTGGTTTATACCGGCTAATTGATAAAACTATTATTAGAATCGTCAAAAACTACCAAGAAAACGAATAAAATTATGCATGAAATGACTAATTTCATAAAAATTTTGTGATTACAATTTTTTTAAAAGTTTTTGATTAAATTACTCAAATTATGCATAAAATGTTCATTGCTTTGGTATTATTGACCTTTCCGATAATTTATTTACAGATTAGCTAATAAAAGCTGATGTTTTTCTGTTTTTCTTCTCTTGGACCCATTCTGCTCTTAGACCATTCTGCTTATTGACTGGCCACCCAGCTCGCGTTTTCAAACTTTGCAATTATGAGATAATTATTAAAGCTTCTTTAAAATACAGTGCTGATTTAAATTAACCGGACAAAACATGTTTAACTCGAAATGTAAAGCGCGTTTATCACAAATTGGGTTGAGTTTAGGTGAAAACGGGGCAGTACAACAGTGCCGAAAAAAAAATCAGTTCAACAGTGCCGAAAATGAAAACTTTAGTCAACAGTGCCGAAAATATGAACAAGTTTCAAGATAGTAAGTGCGGCAATCAAAAATTAAACGGCGAACCTTTATAATCTTAAGTGACACTTTAAATTTGCAGTTGCAGACATTTTGGCGCCAAAATTGGAGTGATTTTCTTTGACAATTAGCGTCAGTAATTTCCCGCTCTTTAGAAAATGCCTTTAAATTATTCTGAACTTTTCCCGCATTTTTGGCACTGTTGTACTTCGGCACTGTTTAACGCGCCCGGTGAAAACTTATGAAGACAAGAGTTGCTTAAAATTTTAGCAGAATTAATATGGTGTAATTTTTACTGCAAAATTCGGGCCCAAATTTTTACCCAAAAAATGGGTCATTTTGGCTTTTCTTAGTTAATCAAAAATTACGCCAAAAATACCCAGTCAATCACAGACATAATTATATCAAAGAGAGCGCCTTACGTAGCCCAACAAACGTTAAGAAGGGTATATTCACCAAAACTTTGTGTAAGTTAATTTATTTTTGTTTGATAGACAAAAAAGGTCGTTTTTACTATATAAAATATCAACTTTTTAAACGGTTTGCAATTTTTTTTGAGAATATACCCTTCTTAAAGTTTGTTGGGCTACCCAAGGCGCTCTCTTTGTTATAATTATGTCTGTGATCGACTGGGTATTTTTGGCGTAATTTTTGATTAACTAAGAAAAGCCAAAATGACCCATTTTTTGGGTAAAAATTTGGGCCCGAATTTTGCAGTAAAAATTACACCATATTAATTCTGTTAAAATTTTAAGCAAGGTTTGCCTTCATAAGTTTTCACCTAAACTAAACCCAATTTGAGAAAAACGCGTTTTAAATTTCAAGTTAAACGCGTTTTGTCCGGTTAATTTAAATCAGCACTGTACAAGGTATTTGATTAATTTGAGCAAACTCATAGAAAACTTGAAAACTAATCAATTTCATTGAACCAAATTTAACAACTCGTATTTTTTCCATTTGGGTGTGCATATCCTGATGGACAGTTTTTGTGGCTTGTTCGGAAAAATTTGTTGACAACGTGTTGTTACGATCGAAGTAAACTCAAGGTTGGCTGTTTGTGTGTGTGCTTACCCTTTGGACGGCATAGCATGCGGCAGCCACACTGAGAGTTAATGAAACAATCTGATTGGCGCAGAAACATCCATCCTGGCAGATGTAGAAAGTGTTGAGCACCACTTGTGGCAGACTCTCCAGGAAACAAAGAGTGAGTTTGGAGTAGCAGGTCGGCTTCCTAGCCCCATGTACTCTATCCTCTTCCCCGTGTATTTCCACCAACTTCAGCACCACTGGGCCCAAGGTGAACACAGTTGCCAGAGTGAATAGAACCCTGCTCCAGGGAGCACTCCACACAGCTCTGGCCTCCTGCTTGTGTTTGACTCTGTGGAATATGACCAGACAGCAGGTGATGTGGGAGAGGAGGAATATTGTGAGTAGGGTGAGTGCCCTGTCATGCTGTCCCCTGTGATTGTATTCTACGATCAGCAGCAGATCTGTCACAGTGTCCCCAATCGGAACAGCAACTGCTTTCACACTACTCAACGACTTCTCTGAAAAAGATATCGCTTGAAACGAGAAAACCTAAGAAACTCAGTGAAAAAACGTCTTTAAAAAATACTCATCCGAAACAAAATACTTCCTAGGCAAAAAAGGCATTTAAAATATCCTAGAACATAATTCTATGGGATCAAAAATAACTTTAAAATCATGTTCTTTATTTAAAACAATTTCTGGAAACGCATTAGTCTAAGTGAAAAACTTACTAGAAAAAATCAGAAACCTCTCCTTTGCCGAGTAAACTAGCATTTCAGAGCAACTACTGCATATAAATAACGCTTTGGCATTGCTAAACTGAGGTCCAATAATTACATTTATTTTGCGCCTTCAAGTCAAACGCATTCTCTCTAGCTAATATATAAATTCTTATCTATTGGTAAGCGTATACAGCAATTGACAATAATTTCTGCATGCAGCGACTAGTAATAATAGTTGAGCGTAACAGTTGAGCAAATGTTTAAGTCTTGTCACATCAATATCATACCAATCCATACCAGAGTAATAAAGGTTCCACAAATTATGTTCACTGGAATATAATTTTGACTCAACTAGCGTGTAACGCACCTCCGTTGCTGAGAGTTTTTAACAAGTCATAAAAACTACATATATTGCAAATAAAATATGCATCCTTTACCGAAAAGAAAATTAAATCTCGGAAACCATAAAAAACGTCAAATCTTGAAAACTACCAAGATTAGAGCAGCCGTATTTGGAGGCAAGACTCGCAACCCCTGAGAGTACCAACTACAGGTTTAGAAATTTCAAATTTTGAAGAAACAAGAATGCTGGTATATCAGGGCAAAGCCCTGAATGTTCCAACTGTCCCTTAATTCATATCGAATAATTTTTGGGAAAAGAAAACATTGAAAACCTTTACATTTTGGACAATGTGAAAGTGTGAAAATTTGAGTCGTACGAAATTGATACGACCACCAATTAGTTAGTATCAATTCAATTTGGAACAATTTTGTTGAGCGGCATAATTCGCCATGCATAAATCATTCGCGTTACGATCTCAGCATTAAGAAAAAACTCTTCAAAGCGCGCATAATTTAGTCCAGAACAAGCCCAAATTTCAAACCCCCAGAACTTTACAAAAAATAATCGGAGGTGAAATATGTTTTTTATATTTGAAGTCAATATCTTCAATGGGGTATTAAAAACTTTTGTTGAAAAAGTTTTTTTCGATCGGTGAAACTTGACTGAATAAAAAAACCACACGGAGTATAAATATTCCTGAGCACTGAAATAAATATTAAAGTTTTCTATTTTTTTTTTGAAAAAAATCACGATAAACGTCATATCTTAAAAAAAAACTTAAAAAGGATTTGAGCAGTCACATTTGGAGGCAAAACTCACAACTCCTGGGAGTACCCTGACAGAGCCTCACTATAGAGATGGAAACTTCAAAATTTTTTATATCTAAACTCTTCGAACAATTTTGAAAAAAGTTATTACAAAAATCACATCACGGAAATTAGGAGCATTTGAGCAGTCAAATGAGAACACATGATTTGCCATTGGGAATTCTTGAGAGTACCCTCACAGTAACCAACTACAAGCTTGGGAATTTCCATTCTTTTGAATGTTTTGAAATCTAAGTATTCTGAAAAGTTCAAGAGAAATCTTAAACACGTCATATCTCGAAAACTACAAGGATTTGAGCAGTCATATTTGAAAGCAAGACTCTCAATCCTTGAGAGCACTCTGACAGCACCCAAATACAAGGTTAGGAATTTCAAGTGTTGTAAAATAATTTGTATTGGAGTTTTCGGAAAAAAAATTTATATCGTATCTCGTACACTAAAAGAATTTGGACATTCGTAATTGGAGGCAAAACTCGCAACCCCACCCTGAAAACATCCCACTATTAGGCTGCTTGTTTTAAACTCGGCGAAATAACCACTGAATTCAAACTGAAAGATCGAAAAACACTCTAAACAATTGCAATATACGACCTAGCTTGAACAAGAAAAAAGTTCTTTCGTTAAACATGCAAAAATAATACGTTGAAAAAGCTTAAACAAGGCAAAATTGTGAAGCCCGCATTTAAATATATAAATAGCGTTTAGCGCAACTCCGGTGTTTCGAAATTTTTTGACAACTCATGAAAAACCGCATATATTGGAAACAACATCTGCAAACTTTTAGTGTACTCTGACTGCACCCAATTACAGGGTTGGTAATTTCGAACTTTTTACATTCTCAGTTTGAAAGGGTCATGTCGAAAAAATAATAGGCCTTTGGAGAACTTTGGAGGCCAGATTTGCAACCACAGAGAGTCCCTGAGAGCACCCTACTATATGGTAAGGAATTCAAAATCTTGTGAATTTTTTGTAACTTAAATTTCCCGAAAAAATTGAAAAAAAAAAAACGTATTATCTCGGAAAGTAAAAGAATTTGAGCATTCATATTATGAGGCCAGATTTGAGATAAGTGGGTGTCTGCTGACAGTTAAGTTGTATCTTCATAAAATTAGTAGTTTCAAATTTTCTGAATTTCTTTGAAGATTAGTTCTTTGAGAAATTTTGAAAAAATCAAAAAATGTCACATCTCGGAAAATAAAAGCATTTGAGCAGTCGCGTTTAGCAGTCGCATGTGGCAAGATTTGTAAATCTCTAGAGTACCCGGACAATACCGAACTATAGCGTTGGGAAATTCAAACTTTGAAAAATAATTAATATAAATTTTCTGAAAATTTTGAAAAAGTCACAAAAAACGTCACATCTCAAAAACTACAAAGAACTGAACAGTCATATTAGGAGGCAAGATTCGCAATCTTTGAGAGTACTCTGACAGGATCCAACAACAGGGTTACAGGGTTAGAAAGTTCTGATTTTGCGAAAAATCATTTATATACGTTTTCTGAAAAGTTTTGAAAAGGTAACAAAAAACGTCATATCTCGAAAACTGCAAAGAATTGAGCAGTCATAATTAGAGGCAAGAGTTGCAATCCTTGATAGTACTCTGACAGTATCCAAATACAGGATTGGGAACTTCAGATTTTTAAAAAATAATCATAACAATTTAGGTTTTCTGAAAACTTTTGAAAATCACAAAAAACGTCAAATCTCGAAAACTGCAAGGATTTGAGCAGTCATATTTGGAGGCAAGACTCGCAATCCTTGAACCTATTCTGACAGTACCCACGTACAGGGTTGGGCACTTCAAGTTTTGTAAATTAGTTTTTTTGAAATTTCTGAAAACTTTTGAAAAAATCTCAAAAATCGTCTTATCTCGTCAACTAAAATGATCCGGTCATTCAAAATTTGTGACATTCGACCAGAATGGACAAAATGCAATCTCTGCAGTTTCGGAGTTTTTAGCAGCGAACCTTCCGAATTGGTGATTTAGAAGGAATAAAAACGTTATTCGAGCGATTGGACAAATCGTGAAGGCTGAAGGATTTGGAAATTCCTAAATTTTAAATTTTCGAAATGATGACGTAACAATTCTCAGAAACGTCAGAAGCGCCCATTTTGGCAGAAAGGCTAAAAAGCAACACAACTGTGCCAGTCGGTCATATTTGGAAGTTTGACCTTGAGAAGAGCAGAAAATACTTGATTTTGAAGTGAAATTTAATTTTTCAAAATTTCGAATGGAACATGTCATGCACGATTTTCTCGCGATAACTGAAAATCAGAAAAAGAAATCAGAACAATTTTAGAACAATTGCGGGAAAGTTGTCAGATAAAAAACGAGTGGGAAATTGCTATTCGCAATTTCCATCATAGTGAACAAGAGTAGAGCTGTCCTATCTGAAAATAGAAGACAGAGTATTCCCGAGAGAGCAATTATTCGAACTGGACCAGAGTGAACCTTCGACGGAAAGGTGGACAGCTTGAGTGTCCCAATGGTCCACATAAAACTTCGTTCTTGAGTTCAAACTTACCCTTACCATTCAAACTGATAAACATTGAACTTATCTAGTTACTTTAGTTAATTCTAGAGTTGCTCACCCATTTAATTACTTCCTGTGCTTGAGCGCATCAACATGTGAGTCCTTAATTTAAATTTCTAGAGTGTGTTTTATGATTGTTATGTTGAGGTAAGGCGAGTTTTAGGTTGATCCATCTGAAATGGATCAAAGTCACACTGTCTAATAAAAAGTAACCTAACGGATTGTTCCAACCCGGTTTTTAACGGCGTTCATGTATTTTGGGTATCTAGAGACCTAAGTATGGGGACGTTCTTAATTCTAGAGTGGGGGGATATTTTAGTAGTAGCCTTTAAGCTGTAACGGGTCGTAGTCTCATGTCACAAGCGAACCGAACTGGCTCCGACCGTTCTTGAGGTGGGAAAACACAAGAGATAGTGTCCCTGACCCTTGAGCCAGTGGTTATAGGGCCTATTTTTCTTAAGCCTCATGTGTGACTGCAGTAGACGAATGTTACATAGTGTTTTTATGGCGCTCCTGGGTGTTTACGACATCAAGACTACGGAGTCGAACCCACTTGAGACAGCTTCGGGCTGAATGCCCATTCTAGAGTACCGGCGGTACGGTTCGACAGGAACGTGCAAACCTTCCGGTTGTACCGTGATAGCTTTTTAAGAAAACTCGAGAAAATTTCCTGGTGCGCTCTCCGAACGAGGCTTAGCTAACCGAGTAAAGGGGGGCAACTAGGGGGACAAAAACACGAGCAAAAAGACAAAAAGCAAAACAAAAACCAAAAAAGAATAGAAAAAGGAACAAAAACCATAAAACGAAAAAAGACAGTGACTTAGACACCAGATTAGTTGGATCAAACCTTTATATTAATTAAATAGTATACCCATACTGTTTTACAAGTTCGATCGTTTCGATCAACCTAGCAATTTAAACCAGTAAACTGAATAAAGTGCCCGAAGTGGGGCGTTGTCAAGGGTTTTCAGATAGCTTGGAACTTAGCTGGACCAATAGGAAACTTGACTGGAAGAGGTGACCAGCCGAGTGGGAAAGTGGTTCAGGGACACTTGAGCTGAACCAATAGGAGACTTGACTGGAAGAGGTGACCAGCCGAGTGGGAAAGTGGTTCAGGGACACTTGGCTGAACCAATAGGAGACTGGACTGGAACAGGTGACCAGTCGAGTGGGAAAGCAGCCAAGAAGGATTTGGCAATTCTCGAGTTCTCGAGTTGGGCAGAACGGGTATCGTTAGAATCCACATTACATTATAAGAGATAAGTGTAAAATTGGATAAGCGAAATCCCCCAGTTTTGAGGAACGTTTTTACTTGAGCAGGCCTGGAAACAGGTCTACGGTTTTCTCTTGAGAAGTTTAGCACCCGGCGCTTAAAGTAATTTTTAGGCTTAAGAAGGGGGGCTAGAAAGGGGGGAGGTTAGAAGGGGGGCTGGTTAAGTTAGAGGTTGGCGGTTGTAAATTGTAAAAAGGGGGAAAT